CTGATTTCATGATGGCACCACAATCCAAAAGTTCCGATGATGGACCAAAGTCACATTGAGGCAAACCATAATCTACATGGTTCTACAACAAGCTGCTACTTTCCAATCCGAAAGCCATCTGCTCTCTATTTTAGGACCAGCCCACAATGAAGCAACCAACTATCAGTCATGCAGAATTCCCGTCTATACTTCCGACCTAGATTCAGAGCGTCAAATTTTCGATCCCACAAACTACCGCGAGCCTGTTTGGACAGTACAGGAGGCGAGAATTAATGGAATTCATCTTGATATGTGAGTATGACCATCAAAGCGGGGGTTCATGTCAATTGAAAGGCTCCACAGGGCTTCGCTGGAATATGCAGTTGCGCAAGAGAGGAGGAAATTGTTCCAACTCCACTCAAATATCACCCAAGCCCAAGAATATCTTGCCCAACAATGCGAACGACTTCATTGGGGTTGTCGTGTGCAGAATGAAGAGCGACTCAAAAACCAGTACTCTGGCCTTGTGCCAGTGGTCACGGCAACACGAGAGAAAACACCAGAGAATGACTCCGAGACTGCTCCACCATCAAGAGCATCAGTAGGAGGAATGGTGATACTCAGCGAAGGACTTGAATCGACAGTCCACTTGCCGAACCGCGAGGTCAGGGGAACATCCGCGAGTAAAAGTAAAAGTATTCGTGGGACGAGAATGACGAGGCCTACATCGACTCGAGTAACTCGCAGCAAAGCTTCAAGTTTAAAGGCTGCTTCGGATAAGGGATGCGTTGAGCCTTGGATGGTGGTGGCTAGAGGGAGATGCGGTCGAGGACGTTATGAGACGGTGCTCGTCCTAGTATGGCGGTCCGTTTGTAAAATAAATAAATCTCAAAATATAAATGGAAATCTCACCTGGAAATAAGTCAGTTCCCATCTCAAGAAGTTGAGAGGCTACCGTGAACTGTTTTTGGTCTATTGTGGAATAATGTGTGAGCAGTTTGTTTTCCGCGAGAAGGGTCTGCACGTGACCGCACGTGACTCTGGCCGGGCCGGGCCCAGGCCGATCGTGCTCGGAACTTGCCTTTCTGACCACATTCTGGATCGGCACACCCACCTCCAACTTTGCAAGGACGATTGCAGCAAGCAATCATGCACTTGCACGCGCCGCCCGCATTCCTTGCGACCTTCTCGCCCGAATACCCCCACCCTCTACCTCCTTCCAACCGCCAACCATTTCCCCTAACCTCCAGCCCTGTGTCGTGCACATGCCAGGTGGGTCGTGGCAAAGGCCTCCGTTCGGACCGGCCTGCCCGAGCCCGTGGGAAACGCCACGCTGGCGTCCGAGTCTGCTCCTCTTCCCACCAACACGGCAGGCGCCTTCATGCAGGAAACGAGAGGGAACTGAAAAGGAACGGAGGGCTCGAGGACGGGAGAGGAAGGTACTGATGCGGGGGGGCCACAAATGGGTGAGTCTGAAGCTACTAGGCTCTTGCTTTCGTTGCTGACAACGTTTCGCAGTCAAAAAGATGTGCTTGCGGCAACCAGGGTCTTACTTGATAAACTGCCAGCGAAACGACTCCCACGGCTTCACACGCTTCTTGGGACCGCCCCGCTCAGACAACAAGTTATACCAATGGTCAAACTAGCACTGGGGTAGATCGCCGTCCACCAGATGTGCGGGCCCGCCTTCTGCCAGCAGTCGCAATCCTCAACACTCTCTTGCTACTACATACGAGCTCTGGGTCTGCTCCAGTTGCCGCGAATGCACACGTGCAAGGCCAAGCCTATGTTGGTCCGACAACAAGTCTTCGAGAGCATATAGGGAGCTCCACAAACGAATCTCAAGCCCGCATCTAAGCACAACCTCAAAATGCATCGGCTCCTCTAACGGCTTTCAGTGCCTTAGCTGCCCCAACTCCAACTTCTTCCGGCCTCAATCCGCTCATTGGAAGCACATTTATCAACACCTTTTTTGAGCAATGGACGATACGACGACCGCTGACTCTCGCGACCGTTCTGAGCCACGCGAGAGCCTGCGAGGCCAACTCCGCCACGCGACAGTACGACAGATATGCAAACGATCGTCACACTGGTGGAGAACGTTACCCGCCATTGCCATCTTCTGTGGAACAAGACTGTGACCACTACTTACCTGGTGGTGACCGATACATCCCGGTTTCAGCAAGCGAATGAGAAAGAGCACGCGGAAGGGAGCGGGGAGCGAGAAAGATATCCACCACCTTTGCCTCCAAGATCAGCGTCTGTATTACCAGCTCCAGCGCTTGTTGAATGCGACCGTCGTGACTGGCCAACGGACTATGGCGGATATGCGGAGTTGGGAAACCCGCGTCAGCATCAGCACCACATCCACTTCATCCAACAAATCATCCTGCTGCTGCCGCACATCCTGTGGTCTTAGTGCTGTTGCTGCTTCGTCTCCTTATGCTGCATCCGCCCAGTTACAAAGGCCCCCCAGCGCCATCTCCTCCTCGTGACTCCCATATTCGTCCTCGAAGTCTCAGTCCTGGTTGTGGTGTCATCGCACGATTTGCACCACCCATAAAAATGGCTAGAGGAGAAGACTATGTTGCAAGCAAGTCGTGGTGGTGCGTTCGAACCGACCGGCCGGGGCCCATGCTGGTGCTCTCGCGCAGGGAACATAATGATCACCAGTGTTGACTGCCCTGACCTCATCACCTTGGGCTTCCAGGAGCTTGTCGATTTGGAGAGTCACAAGCTGGTTGCGCAGAACGTTCTGTTGGGAAGAAAGGACAAGCTGGGTTATCAGGCTTGTCGGAGAAGGGCACGACTGCGTAGATCTTAATGGTGGTCCGACTGGTGTTAAACACCTACACTTACCACTCATCTTATAGTAGTAGAAAATGTCTAGTTCATACATTTTGAACAATTAATTTAAGCTAAATGTGGCCAGAAAGGGAAGTCTGCCAAGTTCCGAGCACTATTGGCCTCGGTCGGGGCCCGGCCGGATCACGTGCAAACCCCTTCTCGCTGAAAACGAATGGCTTAGCCCAACTACCCATATTTCACAATGGACCACAAATATTTCAAGGTAGCCTCTCAACTTCTTGAGATGGGAGTTGACTTATTTACAGATGAGATTTTGATTCATATTATTGAGGTTTATTTATTTTACAAACGGACCGCCATAGCCCTGAACTGGTCTAAACAATTGAGGTCGACGCTGCAGTTCCAAGCGATGGTGAGCCTATAAACGTGAGTACCACCCATCTATTTCCAACCACACCATGTCCGCTTTCGAAAACGCCTACCACTTTGACATCCTTCCCGAACTGATTGACCATCCCATGTACGCTGCTGCAAAGGCTGCTCATGAGACTTTGTCGCCTGCAGAGCAGCGCATCATCCAGGCACTCTCAGAGCTTCCCCAAGAGCCTATCGAGTTTCCAGAGTATCGCAAGCAGTTCGTTGCGATATGGTGTCAGGTGTGTGAAGCGCTCTGACTTTTGGTGTTGCTGAAGATTGTGATTAGGATGGCGAATTCCCAGCACGAATGCTACTCGAGATGGAGCCATGTGGAGTCCGCCTATCGTTCCACAGGAACACCGCAATATTGCTTGAGAAGGGCCTGCGTCAAGGGACAGCACTTCGACGATATGTTGATGGCAAGTGGGTGCCAGTGAGTTGGAACGAGCCGATGCGCGTGGTCAAGGGTGAAGCTTTAGGCTTGCGAGTCAGGGGGGTTACGCAGCTGAGCGACTGGTATAATAACATGTATGCGTTTGAGTAAATATCTGTACACACTTGCGTAGAAGTCACGTGCGCGTGACTTCTACGCAAAAAAAGTTCTCCAATGACGACGACCATACTTGATGCTGGCCTGCGCTCATACCACGCCAGCGCCACACTGGTAGACGATGCAGAGTAGAGCTGTGATGGTGTATTGCAGATGATGCGCAGATACAAGGTGCGTGAAAGGCTACACATACCTTCCCATTTTTTCTGACTATATCCGTTGCAGGTGTTTTGTCGACTTGTTTCAGCCACTCCAAACAAGTCATGCACCGTTCTGCAACACATCCTCCAACTACGATCGTCCTCTTGGCTTTGCTGGACGAGCAAAAGTAGGACTTGGGTGCTTCTCCTCCGAAACAGCCATCTGCTGATGCAGCAAAGAGCTCCGCAATGGTCGCTCGTGTCGGAGGCCACAGTTGTGGATATATTGTGTGAGTTTCGTCAACCACCGCCCACTTCCATCGACTGACATAGCCTGTTTAGCTCTCTTGCTGGCGGCTGGCCCAAATCCACCCAGTCCATATTCTATTTGTGAGGAACCAACCTGACTGTCCCCTACTTGAGAGGACCCACGTTCTGCGTGTGGTCATTCCTGGAGGATGACTGTGAGGACCCGGCTTCGAGGCCCGAAGTCCGTGGTCGCACAGTTTTGTGTTTTACTGCTGAAAACCGGGTGCGTTGATTGTTTCTGCTCGCAAACTCAAGCTTACTTCAGCGTTCTTATCGTCTAGATGGACACATCCACCCCCGCGACTCTGCGAGCAACCCTCACATTCGATTTCGCCCGACCCAGTCGATCTTTCCATACTGCATTCCACACTACGTCCATGCGGAGCTTCTGGCGTAGTGCTTCGGCGGAGACGGAAGACAAGGAGACTCGACTTGTACCAATCACATATTTGCTCGCTCGGGCACCCTTCCGTCGGTGTCCGTTGCATTTTCCTCCGCTCTGGAAGACGGTCCACCAACCCCGAATGTCACGTGTCTCGATTGCTGGCGCGACCGTCACGCCCAATCCTTCATTCGCCACCTTACGCATGTCTCACCTCTCGACAGTCTGCAGTGCTTTCTGGTGCCTGGACCAGCTCAAGCACCTTGTCCCAAGCACCAGGTCAAGTACCTTGTCCCAAGCGCAAACTTGTTCCAAGCGCAAGCCTGAGTGAGCGATTGTCAATGGACGGTCAAACCTTTGTGCTCTCAGGGCACTATAAAGTCCCTCCCATGCTCTGGCCTCAACAATACCACCCATGTCTGCGAACGATACCAACGAGGACAGCCGCCCGCTCTACACCATCATCCGAAAGACGAAGGGCACAACCGACAGCGAGCGCCGCCTCCGGGAGAGGGCCGACACCATCTTCAATTATGTCAAGAGCACTAGCTTCACTCAAGTAGTTGAATGGGAGAATGCGGGAAGTAAACATCCTAACCCTGCGGTATGTTTACTTCCCTCGTCGTAATCTCGGTCTAACATTATCCAGATTACCAAGAAGATGGATCACAAAGATTATATCGACACGGTTATCTATCCCGACCTGGACTGCCGGTTCGAAATTAGCGGGCCAAACGGCTTTCGAATCTCAAACTTTCTCCAAGTAAGTGATGCCCGGTTGTCTTACTTCCCCCTTATCGCTTACTAGGCATTGCACAAAACTATCAACAACTTTATTCGAGAGGCTCGCAAGAACAACGGGTATCTCCCCGGGATGCAACCTGAAGTCGACGAGGGCCACACAACGACGCCTGCCTCAACGACTGTTGTTCCTCGTGTCAACCGTCTACCTGCCCGTATTGCGCGTCCTGCTACGCGCCCGAAAATGAGTGTTCGCCGCATATTCGAGGAAGATCAAAAGACCGAAATTGAGAGGCTGACGAATGCGAAACTCGAGGGACAGGAGCGGGCGCACCGAGATGGAAAGGACTTGAAAGCACGGGCAGAGGCAGTGACAGAGCTATGGACTAATTGCGACAACAAAGAAGAATATGAGAAGCGTGCTGCTGAGGAGAATGCAGTGCGTGAAGCAGAGCTTACGCCCAAGCAACTAAGTCTGTGCGTTTTTTTCTCCCTATTTCTTCAACAGCAACTAAGAAACATTCAGCAATCAATCGGAGTTTGGGCGTGAGCTCTCGACTGTTGTTGCCAGCTACTTTGGCAAGCATGGCAAGCAGATTGGTGATGCCATTTTGTTTGCGCGTTACGCGTTCGTGGACCCCAAGACTAACCAAATTGGATTCAAGAAGTGAGTGGCAATTCCTTCGTGTTAACACTATGCTTATGGGGACAAGAATTACGGTCAACGGCTTCAGCGACGAAAAGTTTGGCGGAACAACAGAGGAGTTCGAAGCTTGGAAGACTTATGCAATGCATACTCTACAACCTGGTAGGTTCCATTTTCGACTCTGACCATACAAATCAAATCATACTTACTAATTCGTAGCAGTCTCACCGGCCTTGACTCCACAAAGTTCGCCGCCGCTTCTACCACCCATGCAAGCAGTACCTCCCCCACCTCCACCTCCCGTTTTACCCCCGCCTCCGCCTGCACCTCCTGTTGTCCCACCGCCTCTTCCTGTGCCTCCCGTTCTCCCCCCGCCTCCACTTATCTTCCATGCTGTGCCGGCCGGGAGCACAAACAACCCTGCACGGGTTGTGCCAATTGTGGGAACGACACAACCAGTTCCGCCGCTGCCTCCCATTCAGCCAGAACTCGCCAATCCTAATGGTCTTCTGCCTCCCGTCATCAACCCTTTACCACTACCACCTACATCACCGTCCATTCTATCCAAGACACCCAACACTACCAAGGTTTTGAAGAAGCGTCCGCGCGAAGGCGAAGAAATTACCCCCAGACCACCCAAAAAACCAAAGAAGGCTCCGACAAAGGCCAAGGCCCAGCCAGTGGCTCAGGCTATATCTCCTCGTAAAACTCGAAGTCGCGGCCCTGCGTTGGTGTCAACGAAACCAAAGAAGGATCCTTTACTTAGTTGGGGGGTAACTTTGACAAAGGATGGTGTATCGAGGAAATATTCAGGCCGAGAGTACGCAAACACATTTCCAGCCGAGTTTCGTGAGAGGTATCCGGAGGAGGTGCAATGGCTAGTTTGGCCTGACCTGGAGTAGATTACTTGCCATCTTGTGCTATATCGACCACAATTAACGACTTATTTCACCTTAATGTGCTCGTGCTTGGTCACGGGCGCAGATACTTCTTGTCTCAAACCTCGGTGGCAAGATCATACTCAAGTGAGTAGCTCAGCAATTCTGTTGTGCCTCCCTTTGCTCATTGTCATTGAGAAGGATTGTCTCTAGCATGCAGCTGGGCTTGAGCTGGCAGCTTGGAACGTTCATAATCCACGACATAATCTTCATGCTAATCTCGAGATAATCCGACATAATCTTCATAATAATCCACGACATAATCTTGACGGTAATCGTAATGCAGCATAATCCCCAATAATCCGAAATATAATCTCCGCACTAATCCTCCCTGCCAGCAGTCGTCAAAACCTTTCTCAGCCTTGATCTTCCGGGGATTAATCCTAGGTCAACCAGCTCAGTACACTGCAGATAGATTAATCCTTCCCTACATGTAGGTATAATCGTGTCGTAGAACATAGCTAGGATTATCCCTCTCTGCCTCGCAAAGATTAATCGCCATCACTGAGGAGACTGCATCGAACAAAGGCACCAGGTTCCAAAAGAGGGTCTTGATCACTCGCATACGCGAGTTCGGGGATATTGTAGCATTCTAAGGCAACCTTTGAACATCTGAGTGAATTGTAGACAGTCCAGGATGAGCCTATCTTACTGCAGTCTTTGAAGCAGGTATTTGAATCCGCACCATCGCATGGTCCGCGTCAGCACCGAGTGGAGTACAAAGCCAATGGCCTAAAACATTCTGATCATTTCCATGACGGCTCGATGAAACATCAAGTAATAGCGTACCTGGTTAGGTTCTGGCAAGGTTTCATACATCGTTTGCTGTAAAAACTCGATGACCTTCCGATATCCCGCTTCGAGTGACGCTATATGAGGGTTGGATAGGATGATAGTATCCTGTCAACCAATTAGAAATTTGGAGCGAAGCATGGCATCTTACCCCCAACATCGGGTCTTGATAACGTGTGTATATCTTGCCACTGAGAAACAGCTTCGCAGGTAGGTTCGTGCCCTCCAAAACGAAGTAATGCCTGCGCGTAAATGTTGGTAACAACTCCAACAGCTCGTTTCCATCGAGTTGAACGGCATCGTCGGGAGTGTGGAAGAGGAAGTGATCCATGACGTGATGGGTGCAGTCGACTTTGATCTAGTTTAAATATTCGTCGCAAAAAGATGACACATATTGGTCTCGAATAGTTGGTAATAGATTACTAGTTGCTTATGTTGAGCACAATACGACTCTGTAAAGCAGTGCTGGCCACATGTTTTTCAAGAATACTGCTCCGCCTCAGTTATACCGTCCATGACCTCCCCGGAAACGACATTGTCATCATCTTGTGTGAGGTCGATGCAGTCTTGTCCCATTGTCAAAAGCGGTTTTTCTAAGTGAGTCTTGCGTGCTGTACTTGGGGTCATATAGAAATCAAACGGAGTACGATAACAGCGGGTTACTTGAGTTGCGTTGAGAACCCAATGCTGCAAGTGACAATAAGGATATGCCGGGTAGCTCGAGTTAACCATACCTTGACATGAAAACTCGTGTCTTCATGGATTTGTCCGTGTACGACACTAAGGTTCAATTTGCATTTGAGTATTGCCCCGTTGTCAAGTACCTCCGTTGGTTCTTGACGGTGCAGAGGGAGCCAATCCAAGTACTCGTATCTCCGAACTTCCTACTTGAACATAAGCCACTGCAGAGAAGGTTCCCGGGACGACGTACTTTCAGCGCCTGATTATCACACTGGACCAAGATCATCGGCTCGACGCCATGATTCTCCATCCATGCCCATTTACTATCGTGAATCTACTGGCTGTTATGAACGACGACGAGGCAATGCTATGGACGAACCTCTTGCGGTGGATTGATTCTGGAAAAAATAGTGCTAAGCGTTGTTGTCATGGCTAAGAAAGCCTGTTGGTAGTAGACGGGAGACTCTTCAATGGGCACCAAGATAAAGTACGCCTAAACTTTGTTCAGCATTTCTCGCGATCTGTGGTGGCACGTACTTGTTGTCCTCGGATGGTCAGCCAGGTACATTTGCCAGTCACGACGACTTGCGATGCGGTAGCTGGCATTGTGCTGCGATCAAGTAGATTGGCTGGCTTGAGAATAGTCCCAATTGTCGATGGAAGTTCTACGTGGTCAAGACCGATTTGGAGATAAAAGAGAATCGGTGCTATGCGAGGAGCTGAACGATGCGTGAGGGCTTTGTGCGGGAGACCAAGTCCTTCATAATGAGCAAGAAATTCTTGCGACGTCAGAGTTTTTATAGGACACGAAAGGGCTGAGTAGTTCTGCTGACCGGTCGAAATTGTCGTGCGCTGTTACGAGGTGTGCTTAATAAACTTGAGTTGTGATTAGAGACGGGTAAAAAGACATTATACATCTAATGTGAATCATTATTTTGCATTTTTCGCGTGATATGCCCCACCATAGCGTCCACTAATTTTCCACGGATGCTTGCCAGGAGTTCTAGGTCCAGAGATCCTGTTACACGTTAGGTTTAAGAAATGAACAGTCATGGAAAGAACGCACTGTCGTCGGACTTGAGCGCGGCGCAGAAGTGCGTTTCAAACGCCCGTTCCATCAGACACGCCACTAGCCCTCCACCGTAACATTCGTAGTCGCCGTTGAAGACCCAATGGACATTGACGCTGATGCACGACCATATTCCCATGCAACCCACAAGCAACTGTATGTTTCATGGTCCTTTGGGTAGACGACTTTGGTGCTCCTGGATTCGCTGACATACGCGGAGCGGTGCGAGTCCCCTAGTCAACGCAAGTAATTGTTCGTTTGGGATAAAACCGGCTGACACTGGCTATGAAACGGGTCAATGTCTAGTTTTGGTCCTAGAAGGTCCGCACCTCAAACACGGTATTGGCTGTATCGAGGTTTCGTTCAAGCAAAATTAAAAACCTGAGATATTGTTGAGTACACCCTTAATCCAAGAGGAAGAACTAACGTATTTCCGGTTAAGAAATTAGCATCTCGACGACCGAGATTGGCACAGTGAGCACCCCATCGGGCCAATGGGCGCTTCCAACGGTGGATGAAATCTTGTACTTCTCGAATGCGAATTTGGTCGCCGTCTGTGGATGGATAGGCTATATCCAGTTGACACGTTAATCGATGGGTCTTCCAATCGGCTAGTTGACAAGTAGTACTGCAGTAGAGAACCTTCAGACAGTCGCCACACTGCTTGAGCGGCGAATCAACAGTGCGGCAAGTATTGCAAGATGAGTCCGACTGAAAGTTTAGCATATTGAGAATTATTGTTGCGATCGAGAGTTGAGCCTATAATAAAGGTGTTGAACGTCCGAACAGGGTTCCACGATGACTCGCAATAACTCAGCAGGCTGATACAGACAAAGGCTGCTGACGAGGGAATACTTTACAGTCAGCAAATTTTCAAGAACGAAAAATAATACTGACTAATTTGCGAAAGGGACCGAAGGACTCGCGGAGCAGTTGCAGTGGAAGGTAAACCCCCACTGGAGGGTTGAAGATTGTTCGCAGTCGTTTGATCAAGTTGGCAAGAGAAAAAGGAATGAGTTATGCACGTGATCAGCACCGCCATTTGATGAAAGTTGGGGTTCATTCAATTTCGAGTTGCAGGTAAACTATACAATTATGGCTATTTCTCTTGCAGACTTGCTATCGCAGGGACCGCCACCTGAATACGGCGCATCTGTTTCGGTTTTCTTACTTCATATATGCAGCGAGAAATGTGTCGGGCTTCAAGTCGGAAGGACTGACACAGGGGGGTTAGAATCCGAGTGCACAAATTTATTGACGAGAGACGACGATTTTCCACAATAAAACTTTGTCGTCCACAACCACCAGAGGCTCGTCGATACGGAAGAGTGCAGCAGAACAAGTAATTATCGCTCCACGCTCCACAATTTGAGGATTATGCTGCTGATAATTGCGGTCGAACCAGGCGTGCTCATTTGACTTCAAGATGAACTGACAGAGCAGGTTAGAAATGAATAGTATGTTGACGAAGCGCACCATGTCCGTGTCAGCGCTGTAATGGACCCTCACAAGACCCAACGAGTCTTCATTCGCTGGAGTCGTCCAAGTAGCGGTTTCGACAACGTGCTAAAAGGTTCAACTGCTGAGAATGAGCATTTATGGCAGGTGAAGCGGACTCACCATTGAATCTGCCGCCTTGAAGTCTTCAGCAGCACCGCTTAACCAATCTACGACATCGCAGAAAAGATGGTCTGGCAAGTATGCACCCGGACAGTCGAGGACGATGAACTGAGAGACTTCAACCTCTCGCGGGAATGAGTAATGTTCTTACCTGGTCGCCCCTTGTTGTTGCATGTGATAGCCAATACCTTCCCCGTAATTTTGACGAAGGATTGGCCTGTTGGTCCTTCGAAGGAATAAACTTGCCGCTGGTCGGGTGTTGGGGCGGTGAGGGGAACCAGGTGACTCGACTCTGGTATATCGAAAAATAGCGACTCAAAAGCCATGTCGAAGGCAGTCGAGTTTAGTGCATGATGAGCCGGCGAGGACATGAGGAAATTCAGTCGCAGTGGCGCGGATGAGTGTGCTAAATAAATATTGTCGCCTTGTTCATTTGTGACTAAGACACTCGTGTTTTTGCTGGGATAATTGCAGAGGGACTACGTATGCATTGGTAATTAGTGTTTGTCAAGCGGCTGAGGACGCTTACAAGTAACAGCGAGCTTCCGTGTTGTGCTCAGTTCTGCAGTTGACATGATGATGGCCGTCACCTTCATTCTCGCCCACGTGACGCTGTCACCTACTTTGGTCACATAATCTCGACGAACGAGCATGACTTGTCCTTGCGGTAGTATTAACTTGTATCCAACCTCTTCCCGCTCAGTTCCAGCTATCACATATCGCATATGTATCGCTCCTCCGTCTCGTTCCTTTGGCACGCAGATGTTTAAATTTGTTTGTCTTTTGAGGAGTTTAGGCTGACTGGTGCTCTGGTGGGCCCCAAGCCCGGCCCAGCCCGCGCCAAGGTTCAGATAGGATACTTCACGATTAAAAAGATAAGCGGGGGTCAAATTTCTGCAAAGTACTACTATACATTGTCAATGGGGATTGCTATCGAACCTCTCCAGTTTCTCGCGATTGTTGTTGTTGTCTTGGGAGCATTACGTTGTTGCACTCTTGGCACGATAGCTTTCGTTGATGTTTACTCTGTTCTTTCCGAGTCTGTTGATACACATGTCAAAAGCTGTGAAGGAATTCGGTGGCACTGACTTACCAGGGGATTGGGCGTGATCATAAGAATCGAGGGCAGTAGCATATGGGCTCGACGCGGCGTGCCCTTCAGTATAACTTGGGTCGACGGTCCACTGCTGCATCTCCGCCGCTCTGGATTTCATTTCCCAGAAGATCTTGTCTCGAAGCTGTCGATATGAGTTGGTCATGCGACGAAGAGAAAACATCGGCATCTGCAGGATAAATCGGGTTTCTCGGGACCAATCGCATGTTAGCGTCGCCACCGTAAATTGGACGGAATGGAGGCGGTGGTGGACCGGGGTAAGGGAATCGCGGTTGGACGGGAATGTTGGAGTCGGTAGATTGCGTCAAAGGAGCTTTCAGTGCTCAGGGAAGTGTCCTCCGTCAAGTTCATCGTTGCATGGGGGCGGTATTCTGGCGGTGCAGCGAGAATTGCGATACTTTGACCATGGAATTGACGGCGAGTGGGAGTCTCAGGGATGTTGGGAATCCCCGCTGCAGGGTTTAGACTCGAAAGCGGGCGTGCGGTTTGATTGTTGCCCACTAGATAAGGAATGTGACGAGGAATTGAGGCCCCAGGCAGTGGAGACGGAAGGTGTTGTAGCCTCGCCGGAGTGGCAGGAGAATGGGGGAAGCTCCCAATGATGTCAAACCAAGTTTTATACGGTTTTGGCTTCATGGTCATTCCGCTGTCAAGTATCAAGACTTCACTAGGATATGCTGTAGACGGGGTCAGTCATGGACAAAGATTGGGCGTCAACTCACCGTTGAATGAGTCGTATTTGCTTCCTTGCTGATCACTGACAACGTAATGACGCAACTGGAAATGCACCTCGACCATGCTTCCTTTGAGCGTTTGTGCGAGCTCACCGGGACCGAAGTTGTTGACC